ATGGCAGCGGGGGAGCTTCCTTCTGGGTGCTGGGACTGGCTCAGCTTCTCTGCCCTAGGATCCTGGGATGGAGGCAGGGTGCTTCCTTCCAGGTGCTGGGACCTGCTGAGCTTCACTTGGGCCTGTTTCTTTTCCTGCCTTCAATAACACTTTGCTACTTTTTGTACTTGTCTTGACCAATTAATTCTTTGTTCAGGACAGAAAGAACCTAGAAACCACCTCTACAAGGAGACTCCATCACTCCAAAACCTGGTAACACTTCCACCTTTAATCACCTCTTGTTATCTTCTAAGGAGAATAATAAGAGCTCTTTCTTGGAAACTTAGTAGTACTACTATATAGATATTCTTAGATTTATCATCTTCTTTTTTTGTTTTAAACTCTCTACTAAGCTGTGCACAACCTGTGTTACTGTATCAGACCGACCTTTGTGTTCCTCCATAGCACACAATATTTATTCAATAAACATTTGTTGCATTTTTAGTATATATACATAATTTAATATTGAACAGATTCTCAAGTGTCCTGGCTAATAATGGGCTTCTTCCTAACTATTTTATTAAAAGCTTCATTAAATAGGGACTCCTCATGTTCTTATATATACATGAGATAATTCAGAGTTTAATAATAATTTATAGTAAAATAAAGTTGAGAGTCTTAGCATATGAGGATGAAAATATACAGAAGGAAAACAATAATGGCCAACAATTAGTTAGGCAGCAGAAAATTCCCATCTTTTTCTGTAGGTGTGTATGTCAAGGTTAAAGGTCAAAAGCTAATGACCAAAACCTGAACAATTTGTAAATTAATGAACAAGGGCCCTGTTCAAATATTAGGAAATGCTGTTCTGAAATTTGACCCTACACTTTGATTACAAGTGTCTTGCAAATTGTGACTATAAAACAAACTGCAGACTGTAACTGCGGCAAGCATGGGGAGGGTCTGTGTTTTATTCATCTTTGTACCCCTATAATCTGATGTATCACAGTCAAAAGGTATTTGTTAAAATCAATAATTTTTTTTTTTTTTTGGTGCCGGCGATTGAACTCAGGACCTTGCACTTGCGAGGCAGATGACGGAACCACTGAGCTAAATCTCCAGCAAAATCAATACATATTTAAATGACTATTTCATCTTTTAAAATAAGACACCTTGCAAGATCGACGCACTATAAGAATAATTCTTTCATTTCAAAGAGCATAGAAGAGTTCTTTACGTGGAATAAAGTTAAAACTCTTTAACTGAAGATTTAAATCCTCTCACAATTTTCTTTCCTTTCCTAGTCTCATTTCCCACTCTTTTTCTTCAAGTATATTATCTGACAGTCAATTGAACTTCCTGATTTTCACCTTGCTTGCCTCTGTACCTTTGGTCATTTGGCAATTTCTCACAACACCTGTCATTTTTTCCCCTGTATTTGCTATCTTATATATAGCTTGTTTCCCTTACTATAATGTAAGTTCTTTTTTTTCTTTACATTTTAAATTCTTTATGTCAGAGACTATGTCTAATATGACTTTAACTATATTTTATTACCTAGCATAGGTCCTAGAACATGGTAGGCATTAAAAAAATGTGTTGAAGGAATTACTTAATGTATAAATAATACCAATAAAGCTCAAAACTGGGAGCTACATTTTAACAAGCTGTAGAAGTAAAACAATTTTCTTAATTTATACTACTGATTTTAAAATATAAGTGGGTATAAGAAATTCCTCAGAAACTTGTTCAAAAATGTAAATTTTTGATGTTACTTGTCACCAGGGGACTTAAAGCAATACCAAGAAGCTACTGCAATTATCTAATCGGAAGCAATTATCTTCTCAGACACTGTGATAGTAAACAGGTAAAAAAATAAAAAAATAGATGCAAGAAAATAATAGGCACAATTCTGACATTGGGAGTCATCAAATTTTCTTTTCAGAAGACTCATTTTTCTTGGATATTTTTTCCTTATATCTAACATTTAACTTTTGAATTCAGGATAGCAATATGTATTTATCTAACATTCCATTCACTTAAATGTACATAGAGAAATAATTATTTTTCTCAGAATACTTTTTAAATACAGTATGTGCCATGATTCAAAATGTATAACACATAGGCTAAACCACAGATACTTTTTGTCTAATAAAGCTCTTTGAACAATATCGTTACTAGGGGTTAGGAACTGCAAAAGATTTTCTTTAGAGTATTTCATGGACAGCCTATGAATTATAAGTAAGACTTCAAGTGGTTAAGAAGAAAAGAGTTTTGTCTTTCAGAAGTTTGTAAAATGCCAGTATTCTAAATTTCATACAGTGTACTCCTTAGGATAGTCCAATATAGTACACATATCTGTCACTTCTTTATCCATTTGGCAAAGACTTCGTAGAGACAAATGTTACAGAGGATCAAAAATGGAGACTTCTGGAAAAATGACCAAAGCCAGAAATAAAGTTGTACTAATTAGAAAACAAATAATTAAATGGCCAAACCCGAATGTTGTGTGATGCTGAAAAGAGATAAATTTCTAAGGCACACCATCTGCTTTACAATTTTTCATTTTCCTGTACTACAAATCTACTCAGTACATTTTTGCAATGATCTAGCTGCTAACTCATTTGCACAATTACTGTAGGCCAGAAATAACTGCTGCACAGAATCCTATGAGAGATCAAGATATTCACAGAAGAGGGCAGATATAATCCATTCTCTAGTGAAGACTATGTTTTCAGCCCTTAAAGGAAAAAAATGTTATTCAAAGCAATTATTAGAAATTGCCGAAGGAAAACCAGAGATTTTAGAAGAGTGACACCTCTATGTTTATGGCATCTAAACTTATCTTCGCCTCTTCTAAATGTCATAATACTTTAGAGTGCGTTGCTGGGGCTGCTTCTCCCTCTCTGTATTTTCTTCCTAATTTTTCTTTTTAGTTAAATGACTTTACAAGGCATCTCCACATTCAGGATTCTCAAATTTATATCTCCCGCTCAGAATTCTCCAGTTCCAGACTCATATATTCAATTACCTACTCGATATCTTCACTTGGAAGCTACACAAGTATTTCAAACTTATCACATATAAGTTGGTTTACCAAACTCACCTTAGAAAAAAAATCTATTCTCTTCTAGTCTTCCACATTTCACTAAATGGCACCACTGTCCAAGGAGTCGTTATACCAAAATCTAGATATCACACTACTTCCTCCATTATCCTTACTTCTCATCTAATTCATCACCAAATTCTGTCATTTACACTCCTAAAAAATATATTTCACACATATTTCTCTTCATCTCTATTGCTACCACACTGTTGAAGCCACTATCATCTCTCAATACTACTTCAATATATATCTAACTCTCTATTTCTAAGATATTGTTCACCCAACAGTCAGAGTGATCTTTTAAGACTATAATTATATGCTCATTTACATTTCAAATGTAATTATATAATGTATCCTCAGTACTAATTCAGTGTCTAGCAAATAATATTTGTATAATTTTGTCATAGACTAATATTGCTTAGTGCCAGGCATGGTGGCACATGCCTGTAATCCCAGCACTCAGGAGGCCAAGGCAGGAGGATCACCCTGCTTTTGAGCCTGGGCTACATCGTAGGTTCAAGGCCAGCCTGAACTGTACAGTGAGACCCTGTCTCAAAAAAATCCCAAAATAATAATAATAAAAATATTATTTAGTAATATTTCTATGTGTCTCTAGTAATCTCTAGTCTCCGTTTTTAAACTTTTGCTGACATATCTACAGACCTATTCATTTACCAAATCATACACTACTTTGGCAACTGTTTATTTAGTGTTGTATTAACTGGGATAAGGTTCAGTTGGATGTTTTACAGTGTCTTAAAGATGAGAGAACTCTGTTATTTATATTTTTTGCAAGTCTGGATATGTGCAGTCAAAGGTTCATGTGGCAACTGTATGAGCTATAAGCCCTGGGTTCTTGCATCATGTTCTCTCCCTTGCCCAGTTTGTAGGTTCCACTTTATGGTCTAAAACAGAAAACCAAACTCCAGCCATTACATCTGCATTTTAGTCACCAGGAAAGAGGAAGGGCATGAAAAACGCCATACCCCCTCCATTTAAGAGAAAACTCTGCCGACTTCCATTCACATCTCATTGAACACCATGATGATTAGCAGACAAGACCAGGGTATAAAGGCTTTTAACTGGATAATAATATTTCCAGTTTAAAGCCTGAATCCTTATTACCACAGAAAATAGAGAATAAATACTGAGAAGTAAGTAGCAGTCCCTTTCAAAGTTCCTTCTGTGACATGGTATTGTTCTGAGAAGAAGGATATAGAGGTCAGTAAGACACAGGGTCTATTTAGTCCAATTGTGGAAACCAACATGTAAATAAGTAACTGTTTAAGATTTAAAGCCAGGCAACAGACACTGTTTGAAGATTTTGGCTCTTCTGAGTCCCCAAAGATTCGCTGCATTCAAAGAGGTGGATGGTTCCAGTGGTTTGTATCACTGAACTACTGTATACAGACTACTTCAGTATGTTATAGCTTTAAAAAAAGACATCTTTCAGCTCTGTTCTATTGGATATGATACCTTCAAGACTAAGAACAAAGCAAAATTCATTTAAAATTCTATAAATATATGTAAACAACTGTAGTATCAGTTGTACCAGTTTGAAAATGCCCAGAGTATAAGACATAAACCAAAAAGATTCTTACAAAAAAAAGCAACAGATAATAATACACAATTTTCTTTGTGTAATCTAAGATAAACTAGTAGTGTGAATGAAACAAATGATAAACAGTGTATTAACTATTGTTATTCTCTTATTATTTTGTTATGAAATTTTGCTTTATTTTTTCATAAAAGATAAAAAGGAAAATGCCCATTAATCTTTTTTAACTTGTCAAGAGATGAAATTAATTTGATTGTTTTAAGAAGACTATCTACAAAGGCTATAAAGCCAAGTGCAAAGAAATAAGCAATGGCAGCATGTTGGAAAGGAAGGGAAAAAAATATTATTGTAACTTACTGTTAACCACTGGTTATCTAGTAGTTCCTTAGCTGTGATTCTGTGAGCAGGATCTACTTTCAAAAGCTGTTTCAAAACACTTTTAGCTGCATATAAGAGAAAAATCTTGAAAATCTTTGTTTCTCTTAACTATGATTACTATCACATACTTTATAATTTATTTAGGATTAAGTCTATACTACAAGAAGGAAAGACACCAAATATCATTATTATGAATGCCTAATAAATAAGGTTTAAAGTGAAGTGTTATTGCATGGATTATCTAATTAATGGTCTATAGTAAAAATTAGCTAAATAATGATTAAATTTCCTCTTTAATTTCTACCTCATATTTTCTGGTTTTGTTGAATTTTGGCTATTAACAATCACAGTGAAGACATTGCTATTTCCACAAATAAATAGTGCCTGTTTCCAAAGTAAATTTAATGACTGTGGTAGTTATGCTTGATTGTTTCAACTTCTTGGCCTGGAACCCACCAGGAGGTTGGTGGTACACACTTGTGGACAAATCTGGTTAGTTCATGGAGGCATGACCTTGAGTACTATATCCCTTGCCCCTTTCTCTGGTGTTGCTCCCTGTTCTGCTTCCTGGCCTCCATGAACTAAGTAGCTTTGCTTCGCCACACACATTCACCATGGTGTTCCTGCCTTGGAGCCTGCCAACCATGTACTGAATCTCCTGAAACCATGAACTAAATTAAAGCCCTCCTTTAAATTGTGGATGTTGGGTATTGTGCTCCAGCAACAGGAAAGCTGACTGATACAATGACTAAACAGATATTTAAAATGGTCTTATTATTGGCCAACTTTCTTGAATTTGGCTTAGTAAATAATAGTCAAGCTACACTTACCACTATCACTTATGGAATTCCAGATTGGATCCTCAAAATGTAGTTCTCCCTTTCTTATTAACTCAAAAAGCTTCTCTTCTGAGTTTGCCAAAAAGGGTGGTTCTCCACATAATCTAGATAAAGACAATGATTTTTGTTTAAATGTTTAAAAACTAATCAAAATAAGGCTATTAAAATTAATTTTCTGCAATATTTGGAGTAGTAATACTTCATATTTAAATGAAGGATTGGAAAAAAGGATACCTCTCTACATGTAAGAATGGAAGCAATGGGGTTTCTAAGATCCATGCTAGTTTCTTCTCTCAAAACAGAGAAATGACCTAGTAGACGAAGTATACATGTATATATTGACTCCTTTAGATTTGCAAATGACAAAACTCTTACAAATAGGGAAACACTAAGCTAAATTGAGTTAAAATACAAGAAGGTATATGAGTTCAAGTCCACAATATAAGTGGTGTAAACAAGGATAAGACAATAGCTTAAGATAAAACGCATAATGCAAACCAGAATTCTGGAAACATGGACACCCTACCGAGGTCCCCAGTTGCACAGAACACACGCCGAATCAGCTCGCTGCAGACAGGCAGGTCCTGAGTCACACAGAACACACCGAATCAGCCCGCTGCAGACAGGCAGGTCCTGAGTCACACAGAACACACCGAATCAGCCCGCTGCAGACAGGCAGGTC